GAGTCTTTACTTTCCAACCGTAACGGTTAGAAAGTGTTCTCCAAGACCTACCATCTATTTGTGTGGTCTTCAGCAATTTATCTACCCAACCACAAAAATTGGGAATATCCTCCACAACTCCCATGGTTGCTAAAAAAAGGGGCAAAATTAGAGAAGTTGATAAACTTGAAGAAAAAAGGCACGAGAAGGATAAAAGACTTACGTGTAAAATTCCACTTCTCAGGGAAGGGGACGTTATCCTTACCCACTAAGCCAACAGTGGGGGAAGCAACAAACCGGGCATACCAGCCACGGTCCTTGTCATCTTTAGGGCTCACCAAAACCCTTTTACTCCTGGCCACTAGGGTAAAAACGCCATTACGGAAAAGCCTAGGGGAGTAAAGATGAATCAGGTGAAGGAAAGTAAAGGAAACGTCAGCCATATTGGTTAAATGCCTCAAACAGGCAATAGCCCTCCATATGATTGGGCCAATTTGACCCAAACAGACATTAAAGAAATGGCAAAATTCAAGAATGACTGGGTCAATAGCTGGTTTGAGCCCTAAAGTANATATATATGAAAGATGAAATAAAAACTCTTACCATGAGTCTTTACTTTCCAACCGTAACGGTTAGAAAGTGTTCTCCAAGACCTACCATCTATTTGTGTGGTCTTCAGCAATTTATCTACCCAACCACAAAAATTGGGAATATCCTCCACAACTCCCATGGTTGCTAAAAAAAGGGGCAAAATTAGAGAAGTTGATAAACTTGAAGAAAAAAGGCACGAGAAGGATAAAAGACTTACGTGTAAAATTCCACTTCTCAGGGAAGGGGACGTTATCCTTACCCACTAAGCCAACAGTGGGGGAAGCAACAAACCGGGCATACCAGCCACGGTCCTTGTCATCTTTAGGGCTCACCAAAACCCTTTTACTCCTGGCCACTAGGGTAAAAACGCCATTACGGAAAAGCCTAGGGGAGTAAAGATGAATCAGGTGAAGGAAAGTAAAGGAAACGTCAGCCATATTGGTTAAATGCCTCAAACAGGCAATAGCCCTCCATATGATTGGGCCAATTTGACCCAAACAGACATTAAAGAAATGGCAAAATTCAAGAATGACTGGGTCAATAGCTGGTTTGAGCCCTAAAGTAAAAGGGTATGTATAAACAAAAGAGAACCCAGTCAAGTAAGAAGTAATTCTCTGATTTGGATTAGGGATAATAATGGGAAAATCACTACTCCAATGGCAGTCTTTGCGAACTACATGAGTCAAAACTTCTGTAATTTGAGTAGGGTAAGCATCAGCACGGTCTAAAGCGAAAACCTGGTTTCTAAGAGACTCCCTATCATGGTAAAAAGAGGGTTCTGTAGGGACTATCTCCTCTGCTAAAGGCTCATGTAATGGTTCAGAAGGTTCTTTACACCTAGAAGAAGATTTGTGAGAAAGGGAACCTCTGGTTCTAGAAGAAGGACCAGAACTGGGAGAAGGTATAGACGAACTACCGCCACGAGTAAAACCCTAAGATACGAAGCCTACCTCCCCTTCTATGCCTAATGGGGGCATTAGGGAAGGTATCAACAATGGGAACTCTCCTAGGGTTAGGGTTTGGTGAAGACATGGCGAATAAGAATAATGTGAGGAATAAGTGAACTAAGATTTAAGGAATTAAGTGTTCAATAAGCTTTATGTGGTAAAAGGCAAGGAAAGAAGTTATATTTATATTAATAAGCAACCGCCAAAGGTAAAAGTGCAGTGATGGAAGGGCCATAATAATGATAACTGGCACTTCGTGAATAGTGAAACCATTAAAAAACCTTGAAAAGGGCTGCAAACCTGCAGAACCAATGGAAAAATGACACGTGTACGGAGCATTAAATGGAAGCGACAATTGAAGCGTCAATTTTGTCATAGCATTAATGGTGACAAAAATTCTCTTTTAATGAAATCCATTTCCCAAATATTCAACTGATGAATAAATCAAAAGTGGGGGGACTATCTGTATTGGAAAAAATTGTATTTAAATATAAATGTGACGTGTCGAGACACGTAGACTGGTCAAATAGTCACAGAATTACAACTAGCCAAGAGGCACGAGTTGCAGCAGATACGAGCAAATTGCAGAGGAGGAGGCACAGACAGTTATTCAAATAACTCAGCGCCCGTACCTATCTAAGTCATTTATGTCCGAGAATCAAAAGGAATGAATATGACAATACAAAAGACTATAGATACATCATTTAATAGGAATTAAATGTGGAATACGTTAGAGAATTTGTATTGAATGTAATGATTATGTAACGTAGCATTCAATGTCTTTAATTACTCATAATAGCCTCATTATGATTTGGGCAAAACGTATATCTCCAAGATATCTATAAAAGGGAGATATCTGATCAATTGTAAGGACACGAAACACTATTGGAATAAACTTTGGTTTAATTGTTTTTCTCTTGATTACTCTCTTGCTACCTAAATTACTTCCTTTATACATTCTTTTGATTATCAGTAACCCGTGTTCTTCTAAATTCTAGCTTTGTCTAAAATTTCATTTTTTGGTTAAACACTAGGTCCGCCACTGTATACAGGGGGTTTCATTATGTAACACACATTCTAATACGCAGCAGAAAGCAATATACTGTTATTTCTAGCCTTTATCATCTTGTTATTATGTTCTTACATCAGTTAAGGCATTTCTTGATTCGAGGGTGATAGAACTCGAAGGCCAAGGCTGTTCAATTTGAGTGGTTTACAGTTATTCTCTTATCATCAATTTCAATATCAATCTGTTCTCTTAATTTGTATCAAGTTATATTGCATATCCTTAAAATCACATATAAATTTAATTGTTATCCGATTTTGAGGGTAAACAAACATATATTTTCTAAAACGTGAATTATGGATAACGGATAAGCTGCGGTTGCATTAGAATGGAAGAAATTACCGGACAACACAAATATAAAATAGAGGGTGGAGACAAACAATCCTTTGAAAATTCCCAAGAATCTGATGACATTGAACCAGACAAAGATTTTGACTTTTCCCCCTTTTTTCCATCTGTGGATTTTGTAAAAACATAATCTTTATTCGAATGAACTGGTGTTTTTGTATAAACATCATTTTCTTGAACAAACCCATGTCCCAAATTCACTTCTGAACCCTTTTCCTCAACTGGGGTTCCTTCAATTTTCTCATTGTCATCATCATCATAACTTTTCTTGGTTTTTGGGAACTCTGAGGAACAGAAACTTCTGGAACTTTTTGTGAGAGTATCAGGTTTTGAGGATGTTATTGGAAAGGATTTGAGTTTGCGAAAGCGAGTTTCGAGCTGAGTGGGGAGGAGAGAGTCAGTAAAGCCAGAGCAGTTTATAGCAACAACTTGTTCAAGGACAGATTGGTCCATTTCTTGAGAAAGGAGTTCATCTACTGCTTTTTCATTGTCGCTATTATCAGAAAGAAAAGAGAAATCTGCCATTGTCTAAAATGAAGGGAGAAGTAGAAGAAACCAGAAAATTAAGCTGATTTTTCTCAGTGCAATTGAAGTTGTGTAATTGGGAGATGTTTTTCCATAGGCTTTTTAGGGGTTACATCAGTGGAGCTTCATTCATTGCTATAACGGCTATCTCATAATTTTGGAACGTTATATTCGGCAGTCAAAAAGTCTCGGATGATGGGTCCCATCATTTGATGCTATTTCCAATTCTTGCTTATTGATGTGTTAGTGTTACAAGCCTAAGGGAGTGATTGTGTTAGTTTACTATATTTACATATGTTGGTTTGATAAGAATTTTTTATTTTACAACCAAATTAGTTGTGTTAGGTTACTATATTTATAAGTCAAATTATGTAACGAGCCAATCAGCCGTTTTAAGCATTTGTATTCCGTTCGGCTATTTGAAGTCGTGAGTATTTTCATATGATGTATTATGACTTGTATGTATCGTTGATTTCGATTTTCTGGTGATTCAGAATTAGTTTGGAAGAATGATTTTCATATTTGAAGCCTTAAGTTGGAAGAGTTGACCAAGTTTGACTTTTATGTATTAACCTCAGATCGGAGTTTTGATGGTTTCGTTAGGTCTGGATAGCGATTTTGGACTTGGGCGTATGGCCGGATTTGCATTGGAATGTTTCTAGAAGGTTTCAGCACTGATTGGCAAAAATTGGAAATTTAAAGGTTAGGAATGCTTAAAAGTTTAACCGAGAGTTAACATTGATTATATTGGGTTCAAATTGTTGTTCTGGGAGTTGGAATAGGTTTGTTATGTCATTTGAAACTTGTATGCAAAATTTTGGTTCACTCCGGATTGGTTAGGCTTGAATCGGACTCTTGATTCGAAGTTGGAAGTTTATGAACTTAAGAGATTGATCTTGATCGACGATTCAAGACTTTGATGTTGTTATGTGTTATTTGAGGCCTCAAATAGGTCAGTGTTATGCTTTGGGACTTGTTGGTATGTTCGGATGGGGTTCCGAGGGACTTGGGTGAGTTTCGTGGTGGTTTCGGACCATTTTTAGGCCATTTTCAACTTCTGGTTTTTGGCTACAAGTACGTGAAGAGCTACCTTGTGTGTCAGCTTGACAAAATTGGGCGGAAGAAAGAGGCAAGTTTGCTGCAACCTCTGCCTATTCTAGAAAAAACATGGCAATCTATTTCGATGGATTTTATTAGCAGGTTCCGTAAGGTTAATGAGTTATCTTTGATTATGGTTGTGGTTGACAGGTTTTCTAAGTATGCTGTTTTTATTGCTGCCCCAACTGAATGTTCCTCAAAGGCGCCAACTGCCTCCCATGTGCCTTGCACACGTTTTGTAACTACTGCATGTGCATGTTTTGCCCATCAGTTGGGGCTTGTCAACTGATTGTCTAAATTGCTGCCAAGTGTAATTGGGTAGCCTGCAATATAAATATGTGCATAAGGCTGTCCCAAAAGGAAGAATCTTAGCTTGTGGCATATGTGTTAGCCAAATTTTGTCTAAGTCTATTCTTAATGGTGGAAAATATTTTTGGGGCAGGGAACTAGGGTGTTCTTTGTTCTTGGCTATAGGGTTGACTTATTGTGTTCTTGTATTCATATAATAATACGAGTTGGGAAGAGATTCCGGTAAATTCGTGTGTGCCTTTACTTTTCTTGCTGCCTAAATTTATTCTAAGTCTCAAACGTCCTAAAGTAATTCTAAGTGTTGGAAAGGCTAAAGTCAAGGCCGGACTTGACTGCCGCGTATCACACCTCCTTTTTGCGCGCCCCGCCCCGAAGGGTTAAATGCGCGAGAGAGTTTTTCCAATTTAAGTGACAATATTTGAAATGGGATTATTTATTTAATTCAGAGTCGCCACTTGGGAAAGGTTTGGCTTTTGGTGTCCCAAGTCACCGGTTTATCTCGANTTATTGTGGTTATTTATTGAGGGCCCCGCAATTTTGCGTTTTATTTGGCGAGGCTCGTCTCTATTTTTAGAAAGGATATCCTAAAGTGGCTATATTTCTAATGCGTTTGTTCCTAAAACTAGAAGAAAGAAGGTACATGCTAATTTAATTATATGCTTTGGCCCAATCCGGATTCTTATGGTTAATCATTTACAAAGTTGAGAAGACATTATACTTCAATGGAAAAATGCTTTAATTTGACAAAGAAATCCGTTTATTCTAACAAAATACAACACTTAACCCGAACAAACATCTTTAAGTCGAATTTATATTAACTTGCTCAAACAGGGTTAATAGGATTCCTTATTAAAGAATACTACCGATGATATTCAAAACTAGTCCTATAAACTGCCTAAAGAAATC